ATCCGAAACCCATGACACCACTTTTTTCTTAATTGTGGTCAGAACACTTAATATGAGCTCTCCCCTCTTAAACTTTTTAATTATACAATACAGTATTGTTAACTCTAGGCATATTGCAGAGCAGACATCTAGCACTTACTCATCTTGTACAACAAACTTTACACTTGTTGACTAGCAACTCTCCATTTTCCCTTCCCCCCAACTCCTGGCAACCACCATTCTACTCTCTGCTTCCATAGGTTTCACTATTTTATGCGCCTCACATAAGTGGTATCATGCAGTACTTGTCCTTTCATTATTGGCTTATCTCACTTAGCATAATGTTCTCCTGGTCATCCACGTTGTCTCATACAGCAGGATTTCCTTTTTTAAGATTGAATAATATTCCATTGTATGTCAATATCACGTTTTCTTTATCTATTTATCCCTTGATGAACATTTAAATTGTTTCCACATCTTCGCTGTTGTGAATAATGCTCCAATGAACATGGGAGTACAAATATCCCTTTGAGATCCTGATTTCACTTCTTTTGGATAATCAGAAATGGGATTGCTGGATTATATGGTATCTCTATGTTTTATTTCTACTTTTTTTCCTCTATGTCCTAATTTACTGTAGCTACATAGCCCACATTCCTCTTCCCACCCACCAATGGAGTCAGTGCCCAGAAAGCCTCTTGTTGCTCTGCCAGACCCTGGGGCTCCCCGTGAGTGAAGGTCGGCACAGGCTGACCAACTCATACAGAATGGCAGGGCTTTGGCTGTCCAAGTTTGTGCATAGCCAGAGCGCAGCATTCGTGGAGTTTTCTGAGTCCATCTCCACCTGATAGTGCCTATGTGCTTCTGGGGTAAGCAGGAGCCAAACAGGTACATTCCGGGCCTTAAGGGCACAGTAATACTCATGCCCTGCTTGAAGGGCATGCGCCAGTGCTCCTGGCCCAGGAGTATCAGTAACAGCAGAGTCTTCACCTGAGGGATGTATTTGGTGGACGACTTATCCAGTAACTCAGCCCACACACTGAGATCTGGCAGGCAGAGGGAAGACAGCTTCCACCATGCACCAGTCAGGGACGTCAGTGGAGCCCATCACGGAGGAGATGTTGACCTCTGGTTCCGGGTCACGCAGGCACCATAGGTCATGGGTACTGGCCAATCAGGTGGCAGGAGAGGTCTCCACTGTGAGAACCACCAATAAGAGCCATGTGGCTTGCGTCAAAGTGCTCCTCCCGCAGTGCCTGCTCCACGGCAAACTGGATGTCCTTCACATCTTGGTGGCCCACATTCTCAGGAAGGAAAGGATGCCGTCCTGGCCAAAGCCCGTGGAGCCACGATAGTTCACTAGTAGTGCAATAGACCCATCTTGCAAGGCATGGCAGGGAACAGCATCCAGACAGTAACATGGGATAAATAGGACCCCTGTAGGGCATGACCACCATGGGCACCTGGGTCTTTTCTGGTGGGTTTCTGGGCTGCCGAAGTATTGCTTCCAAGTCAAGGCCAGAATACTGCACTCTTGTTCTGGGGGTGGCTGAAGCACCCAGATGTCCCCGTAGATGTCAGGAATGGACTCGGCCTCCTCCAGGGACACCTACAACACCAACTGTTCCTTCCCTTCAGGAGGCAGGAACCCAACTTTCAGCTTGGCGGTAGGCTGGATGTGGAACACTGTGCCACCATGAGGTCCCAGTCAATTGTGAACAGCTACCAGCTGGGCATCCACAACAAACAGGTCCTGCTGGCTGTGCTGAGCAGAGTGGCAGACCACTCTCTGGCTGTCAGCTGACCAGCATCCCAGAGGCAGAAGGGCTACTGTAGATCCCAGAGAAGTTGTATCCCAGCTGCCGAGGCGCAACATCCACCACGACCAAGGTGACCCTGGTATACCAGTCATACAGGCACACTGATCATGCGGACAATGCTACACTGGTCTGGGCTCATCCAGGGAGAAGAGACAGCAGGGGTGTCATCAGAGACGAGTTATCTGAGAGGAGGTCACAATATTCACCTGAATGAGGTCCACATAGTACAGGGCTGACCTGTAATTGGTGCAAAAGCAGATGCCGAGCCAGAAAGGCTCATGCCGCCAGCCCATGAACACCACACCTGTGTCATCAACAGCCCAGAATGCCTTCCCAGGAGGCACATTCTCAGGGATCCCCTCAAGTGCAGAGATGTTGCTACTGTCGACATCTGACACACAGAACACAGAGGTGCTTTTGGAAACTATGTTTTCTCCCCAGTCTTTGTAAAACACAAAGTGATCCCTCTTGATGGCCTGGTATGATGTCTTTGGCCTGATTATCTTACCATTGCTGGCACTGATGTCCAAGGCTTTGGTCTGCAAGAAGGACTCATCGTTGGGGCACTTCTTGTCTGCCACATACAACAAATGTGTCTCCAAGTACAACCAGGACAGGCAGCCAAAGCAGTCGCTCTCACAAACGAGCCCATGTTTCTCAGTGCTGACAGGTGGAAACTCTTGAGCTTCCAATCCTTCTTACACACCTCCAGGAACTGCTTCTCCTCCCCAGGCCCTGTTCCTCCAGCCTTGCACAGCACAGCTTTGGTGGTGTCTGAAGGAGACTCTGCTCAGCAGTTCTCCCTGTGTCTCCACACAGTTGCCTGCAGGCCCTGCAAACACCACTGCGTCTCCATCATGGAACACCAGGTTCTGGTCAGAGAATCGGATATTCTCCATGGGTTCCAGATCCCTCTTGTTCCTCTCAGTGGGCACTCTCTGGCAGTGCCCCATACTGCATTAGTAATTGAGAAACATCCATACTGGTTTTCACAGCAGCTGCACAAGTTTACATTCCCACCAACGCTGTACACAGGTTCCAATTTCTGCACAGTCTCACCAACAATCATTATCTTTTCTTTGTTTTTTCGATAATTGTCATTTTACAGGTGTAAGGTGATATCTCATTGTGGCTAAGATTTGCATTTTCACCATAATTAGTGACGTTGATCAGCTTTTCATGTACCTATTGGTCATTTGTATGCCTTTGGAGAAATGTCTATTCAAGTCCTTTGACCATTTTTAAAATCAGGCTATGTGATTTTGTGTGTGTGTGTTTTGTTTTCTTATTTTGCTTTTGTTTGCTGTTAAGTTGAAGAAGTTTCTTATGTATTTTGAATATTAACCCCTTATCAAACATGTAGTTTGCAAATATTTTGTCTCATTCCAATATTTGCAAATATTTTGTCTCATTTCATTTGGTTGATTGCTTCCTTTGCTGTG